GAATATGTCGATTATAATGGATAACACAAAGGTCGGTAATAATCATACCAACTGTAATATTTGTCATAGAATCACAAGAGAATCTGTAGGCTATAAAGAACAATACAGAGGTTGGTCATCATGATGTGAACTGTAATATTTGTCATGAGAATTCAGCAAGAGAGTCAGCCGGTTTCCAAGTGTAGTATGAAGGTCGATACTAGTGATATAAATTGTAATGTTTGTCATATTTTATCAACACGAGAATTGGCAAGCTATAAAGGGTGATATAAAGGTTGATAATAATGATATAAGTTGTAAAATATCTGTTATGGAATCTTAATGAATCGACCATCTGTAAAGGTTAACATAGTCTTCTAACAATGTTTAGCTGCAGATTGGTAATAAAATGTAATATTTGCTCTGAATTTTCATAATTCTGATTGGCCATTGAAATGCACCAACAGTGACACAACGTTTAGTGTGCCTAGACTCTGAATCGAAAGATTCATGGTTCGTGTCCTCTTGCCTATAGAATGATCTCTTCACTCTGGGACCATGGGTGCACTATGGGAATAGCATTCAAATTATATTATTCTGTCAGACAAAAGTAGCCCAAGAGTAAAAGATGGATACTGCTGTTTATCTACCTTTCCTTTAGTCTATCAGTTCAATAATTAAGGACGATTATGCCAGATAATCCTTATTTGGCTTTGTGTGAAATTTTTAATAAAAAGAATATCTATGAGATCTCCTCTAAAGTATTTTCATTGTCTGAAACATTCTGAAAACCGTGTTATTGAAAGTAAAATGAATAGACTTAAAGAAAAATAAGAAACATCCAATAACCTAATAGCTCTATTTATCCTCCCTATTTTACTGTGCGTGTTTAATGGACACTATTATATATATATTATAGTACTTTAGTCCAAAAAATTGTCTGAGAAAAAAAACAGAGCATTTTATTTTCAAAACACACTTGAAAATTATATTACAAATAGTGGTCGTGCTTTTTATTATCTGTGAATATTTTAGATATAATATTCCAATATTTTCAAGAAATCACCTTCATAAGGCAAGTATTATTTTATTATTCTTTTACACCTAACAATTTTACAATGTTAATCCAGAAATGTTTATTTTATTATTAAGTGTTATCTGAATGATAGAAAATCACGTTTCTTTGTTTTTCGTTGTTTTAATGAACATGTATTTTACAAAAAGAATATGTTAAACCACTAAAGATTCATTTGTTCCTTAAATATAGTTACACTGTGCAGAAGACAAGCCCACAACTTGGTAGGCATTTTAACAACCTGAGATTTTATCTTTTGCATTATTTCCTATTACACGCAGGTAAATAGGGAGAGAATACTTCTTGAATGACGATAAAATATAATATAATCAATTTTTGGTAATCCTCATAGTTTGTGTTGCTTTACAAAAAATTAATTACAGAAACATACCTACACAAACAACAAGGTATTTTGACGAAGATGAAACTAGCTAATTAGTATCGAGTCTCGGTATGTTTGATTGGATGCAAAACTAACCGTATCTATACTCGAGCGTTGACGTAATCTGAAACATGGTGTCGAGCTATCTGTTTCTTATGATTCTGATTCAAAATTTTCTCTGCAAAAGAAGACAAGCGACAGTTGTTTTTTTTTTTTAATTTGGAAAAGACACACATGCATTTTACTTGAATGTTTGTTAAAATTTTGAGAAATACGGGACCTACTTAGGTCTCTTTAGTGACTTAGTAAATATGTAAATTTGCGTGCATCTTCACAAGATCGTAACTTCTGGCAAACAGGTACAATAAATAGTAATAAATAAATGAACCTGCAAATTATAATAACAGCGAAACTCATGTGGAACGCTATAAGCTAAAGTCTGCTTAGTGAGAGTACACAACATGTCAAATATCAACAGTGTTTGTGGATGTAGAATGCTAAACCTTACATCCAGTCAAATATTAACAGTGTTTGTGGACGCAAGATGTTAAATCCTACATCCACTCAAATATTA